GGTTATTTAATTCAGATAAAAACATGCATTTAGGCCTGTGTATATTTTTGCAGAGTTATGTGCACACATTCCCATAGTCAGATGCACACAGTTATACATATACACTGTCAAATCCACCACATGCACATAGTCGCAGGCAGAGAGTCACATACACAGGATCAGGCAGAAACACACAGGTAAAGGCAGTAACACTCACACACAATTACAGGCAGATAGCCACACACACACCCACACATACAGTTTTACACACACACACACACACACACACACACACACAGCCACACATACAGTCTTACATACACATACTGACATGCAGACAGTCACACACACACACAGGCAGACAGCCACACACACACAGAGGCAGACAGCCACACAAATACACACAGGCAGACAACTACACAAATACACACAGGCAGTCACTCACACACACACACACACAGGCAGTCACGCGGGGACACACATGCAGACAGTCACATGCACACACGCAGACAGTCACACACACACAAACACAGGCAGACAGTCATGCACACAGACACAGTCACACACACAGTCACACACACAGGCAGACAGTCACACACAGGCAGTCATACACACAGACACACACACACACAGGCAAACAGTCATACACACACACAGACACACACAAGCAGACAGTCACAGACACACACACTGGCAGACATACACACACACACAGGCAGACAGTCATATACACAAAATACAAATAGTGAGGCGCTTATGTAAAAGGTAGCAATTTACCTCATATAGCCTGATGTAACAGAGATGTGTCAATTCGGAAGTCTTAAATATCACTGGTATACAAATTCTGAAGGTTCAAAAGAAACAATGTACATAGTGTAAATCGGATATGTATTAAATATAACTTATAAAGAGATACAGTACACTCACAAGCATGGAGCTATAAACCCAGCTCCGGTATGGGCGGCTGCATGTTCGGACCAGAACTATCACTCAAAGTTCTGAGATCTACTGGGGGATCTTTTATACCTAGGAATTTCTTGTCTATATTACATTTTTCTATTCCTTTGGTATACTCCATCTTTCCGTATTTGGCCATAGGTTCCTCTATGGTTATGGTGATCTCTGTTGATTTCCCTTTTATATTTAGATCTCCTCCCCCTGTGATGAAATACATTCCAGAGAAAACAGAAATAGTTTGATCAGTAATCGATTTGAAGTCCTTGAGAACCATAAAGAGGCAGAGTTTTTTTGGGAGAGCAAGATGAAAGAAAGACATAAATTAAATCAGGCAGCACATCTAGCTACTTATATAAAAAGAAGAAGGGTCTCAGAGGACGAGGAACAAGAGGAGGGAGAGTTATGCAGAACAAAAAGAAGGGAGAGACATTAAAGATATCTTGTGAAGGGATTTTCAACTTAAGTAATAAAAACCTTGATAGACACCATAAAATTGTCCTCAATAAAGGATTAAAATTTGCCCCAAGTAATGCATTAAATCATTTTGATATGTATATCGATTTGAATAGAATTAAAAGAAACCTTTGTTTGAAAAAAATTTCTTAAAGAACCCGATGGAGAGTAATTAATTATTCATTCACAATTCAGACAAACCCACTTACATAATAAATCCTCATTTTTTCCTAAACAAATGATATCTGAAAAAATGACCACATTTGAGACCATGGTTATGACTGATCTTAAGAAATTAAGCACTAAAGATAAATTTCACCATAACCTATCAATAAAAGAAAAAAAGGCTCTCAAGGAACTCAGGGAAGATCCAGACCTTATTATTAAACAAGCTGACAAGGGGGGAGGTATTGTTTTAATGTCCAAACATTTCTATGATACAGAGGCTGTTAGAATGCTAAATAATACTGAGACCTACAGAAAATTAAGTAAAAACCCCAGTGAAGAAACTAATCAATTATTTTTAGAATTCTTTAACAAGGGTTTTAAGGATGGTATTTTAAGCAAAAAGGAATTTGAGTTCCTGAATATTAAATACCCCAAGACTCCTGTTTTTTATTTTTTGCCTAAGGTCACAGTCACAAACACACACATAGAGGCAGACAGTCACAGACACACACAGACAGTCACACTGACAATCACTCAGTTACCTCTGTTTAATGTAGCAGTGCAGCTCCTGGAGACTGTTTGTTGGGGGAAGCAGGGACTCCTTCCTGCTTTCCCTGCAGCACTTATCCAACACTTATCCGCCCCCACTGCAGGGACGCTCCGCCCCCGCCAAATGGGAATTCAGTCCGGCTGTGCGGCCGCATGGCGCCCCCTACTCCATGGCGTCCTGTGCGGCCACACAGCTCTCACACCCCTAAGGCCGGCCCTGCTCCTAGTGCCTGCAAATAAAAAAACAAACCTACAATAAAAAATAATATATTATACATGTATTATACAGCTGTTATATATTATAAGTTAATTAAAACACCTTATTAGCATATTATGCATGTATAATACATACATACATATTCTGTCCACAACAAATACTATATATATATTAATACCAAAAAACACTTAGAATTAAATTATATATGTTTTATATATTAATCAGATGATTTAATTAACATATAATATATTCTACATATCATAATAAATGATATACATGAAATGAAAATGTAAGAAAAATATATGTAATCATATATGTAAAATATCAAGATGTGTGTGTGTGTGTGTGTGTGTATATATATATATATATATATATATATATATATATATAATAAAAATACAGAATACTCCTGCACTCACGCTTAAATATCCCTTAGGTTACGAACGGACCGTCATCACGGCATGACGTCACCAAAGGGGTGGAGCTTGTCAACACATGCGCACAGAGCATGCTATGACGCCGGTCAGATGGCGTTTTTCACCTGGGGTAAACTAATTTACTTAATAATGTTATGTATAAATGTCTGTTTGTTAAATGTTTTTATTTGATCCTGATGAAAGTCCTCTACAGGGAACTGAAACGTTGATCGCTGGTTTTTTAACCATTTTTCAATAAACTTTGGACTTTTATTATCCGTGAGTGCAGCTACCTACTTGGAAGAATATATATATATATATATATATATATATATATATATATATATATATATATATATATATATATATATATATATATATATTAAGGCAATTTGCCTGCATTTGTGGGAGGTGCTGGTTTGCTACCCCTAGCCTACTTAAGGCACTCCCCTTGCCTGGCTCCTTACCGTTCGAGGTCAGCGTTGAATGAGGATCCACCTCTGGGTTCTCTCAGACGCCATCTTGGTTTCAGTATCCAGGAGGTTTCACCACGTTAAGCTGTGTCCAGGAATCCTGTTCAGGCCTTTCCGCCCGTCCAGCTTCTTCTGACTCCGTTTCTCCGTCGTAGATCGCGTCCCAGGGACTCCTAAACCGTAAGTCAGACCTTCCTGTCACGCCAGGACTGGTTCCCACAGCGTACGGTACAGCACGGGTCCTCGCTTTACGGCTTTTTCCCTGGTTATGACACGAATGTTTTCAAGCCATTCGCGGGCTTTTCATTTCGTACGGTCATTCGGCTGAACATGTTTTCAATCGTTCAATAGTCATTTCGCATATCCTATTCATGTTATTTAAACGAATGTTCATTCGGTTGTTTTGCCTTTCGGCAAATATTACATACGCTCACACACACTTTGGTTCGCATAAATCATACGGTTAAACTATTCTAACTTCTGTGTTCCCCTCACATTTGCTTTCGGCTGTTCTGTGTGTTCACGTTTTAATCCTTTCATGAATTATATTCACCATTTCATGTGTATATAACATTCGGTTAAGTATTGCTTGCTTAAATAGATTGTTGATTACTTTTAACAATTGTAAGTATTGTATTTTGTCCACAAACCAAGTCCACTTCTGTGTATACCATTTGACTCCCACGCTTTCTGGGGTCTGCATTACTTATCCATTTATACGTATGGACTCAGCCATGTCACAAGCCTCATTTCTGGGTTATTAATACAATACATACAAGGATAGGTTCATTTAAGCAATAATTCTCGGGTTGATACGTCTTTGCTATACATACATATCCTATAGATCCACATCACTTTACATCATGCTAAATCATTTTGGGGTATCCCTGCCTTTGGTCTTTCTGCTACATATCATACACAACGATGTGTTAATTAGGCCATGACCTCATCCATGTCCCTTTCTATAAAACCAGTTACATTTCGGTACAGGTCATTGAACTCCCACGCCAGGAGGTTTATAACTATCCATTTCATTTCAATTTACTCAGCCTACATTACAGGCCTCATTTCTCTGTCATGACGATGACACACAAGGCATAAGTCCTTTTGCATGCATACTCGGGTTGGATCACACGTCCTGATCCAACCAATCATACGTCCCCTACACAGTCATAACATATATGTATATAACCTACGTTTCATGTTTTCCTTTACACACCATTATCACGTAACACATAGATTGTTTGTACATAGGCCACGGCCTCCCTCAGATGTCTTTTTCAAGCATGCAAACATTTCTGAGCCACTCGTAGCTATTCCCATGGTATCAACATAATTTTATACATTGCTGCTACAGACTATAAGTCTGGTTCTTGTTATACCCCACACTCATCGTACAACTCTCTTTTACCCATTTTTAGGCTGTCGAGCTTATATAGTTGCTCCACACGGTTTATTCCTGTGATTTATCATACTACCAGGTACGTACACCTGCTCATATGGTATTCTACCATACATTTCATTTCATCCCCCTAGTTTAGAGTACTGGCAATAGGGTCACAGGATTCCCAATAGGTATTTACCCCGTCTTGGCAGTCGCCATCAGTTAGTGGTCCTGCGAGGCCAACACCCCGCCTCAAACGTTCCAGAGGCAAACACCCATCGGGCCACACGTTAGCTAGCCGCCTCGCATGTTGCAAAGAGAGGGCCTCACCTGTCACTCCCTTCCCCTGTTTTCTGTCGTACAGTCACCGAGAGGCCTAAAACTCCTGCCACTACGTCAAGTGGCCTCAATAACCCCTCACGCCAACGCATAGATAGAGCCTCTCAAGCCGCTTGGCAACTAGTAGGGCCTCACCTGTCACCAAACAAGCATAATACTTTCGCCATCCGGCCTAGCTAGCCTGCCAGTACAATTTGGTGGTTCTATATACTAATTATTGTTTTATTTATAGTATGTCTCAGGAAGGGGTAGAGGATTTCTCCCTGCCTAGCACCCCGGCTAGAGCTGTCACTCCCACACAAGGAGGAGAGCTAGCTAATCCAGCATCAATTAGATCCTGGACAATCCCGCGCATAACCACGGAATTAAGGAGACGACAAATCCCCTACCCCGCTACAGCAAGGAAGGCAGAACTTTTCAAACTGCTACGCACGTCAACCAATAACATGGAAGCCGGGGAAGGATCTAGCCAGTCCAACCCAGGGGACATACATGCCATGTTATCCTCACTCATGGCATCCATGGGCAAGGTCAACTCCAAGCTGGAGAAACTTGAGTCGGTCACCACGGCCCTCACTCTAGCAGGGCCACCCGCGGCTGCGGTACAAACACCAGCCTTGCCATTAGTCGCTCCAGCCAGCCCCCTGGATGACCAGGAAGTTAGCCCGGCCCACATGATACCTGAGCATATCAAAAGGGATATCCTGGAAGGTAAAGGCGTCAACCTGGCTTCCCTGTTGATTGCCTCCCAGGACATTGTGGAACATAAGACGTATGCTTATGATGATGTTTCTGTTATTGTCAGATCTAGGGATGCCCGCCTAAACAGAAAACTGACTATCCCTGAATTTGTTCTAGCATTTGGTATTTACAGGGATGTCGTCTGTACGGTCTATCCCAACAGAAGAGAGGAGTTCGATCTCTATATGCACAAACTGGTAGACCTGGGCAACAAATATGGTGGTTCAGCATTCTATGACTACCATAGGTCTTTTTCTGCAAAAGTGGCTGGAGCCTTCTCCCAGTACGGTACACGGTCCAACTGGGGAAGGATTGATACCGTCTTATTCTGCAGACACTTTGCAGGTCTAAGAACACCAGCTTGTGCATACTGCTCCTCCACAGCCCACACTACCAATTTTTGTCCCAACACGGCAGACGGACATGCCTCCACACAAGGAACTACTTCCTCTGGGGATCCAGGGAAACTATCCACAGACAAATTGGGACGCCTAATCAAGTTTCTGGGCAAGTCCCAGATATGTAATAATTTCAATGTTGGGTCTTGCAATTACAGTGGATGTAGACTATTGCATGTCTGTTCAAAATGTTTTAGGGCACATGCCAAGACCATGTGTCCAAATAAAATGTATTCTAAGCCTTACCTTACGTCCATTAATATGCCAGTATTCACAGCATTGATGTCTCAGCACCCATCTAGACACCTGGTAGATTTTCTTATTTCTGGTTTGACAGAAGGCTTCCACACAGGTATCTTACACATACCAGCTGGCACTCTGGAATGCCCAAACCTACAATCCGCCCAACACAACCCCACAGTGGTTGACACCCTCATAAACCAAGAAGTGGAGGAGGGCTTTGTATTGGGGCCTTTTAGAACTCCCCCATTCACAGCATGGCGCACCAACCCTATTGGTATTGTCACAGGGAAATCTTCCCAAAAACAGAGACTCATCATTGACTTATCGGCTCCCCACTCATCGGCCAACCCCAGTCTTAATTCCATCATACCCTCAGAGGAATTCTCTCTGCAATACACCACCATAGATCACGCCATTACAGCCATCATACAAGCAGGGGTGGGAGCCTGGCTCAGTAAGACCGACATTACTAACGCCTTCAAATTACTCCCTATCCACCCCACACTGTGGCACCTGCATGGCATCAAGTGGTCCGAGAACTACTATTTTTTCTCCCGGTTAACTTTTGGGTCCAAAAGTAGCCCAGCTATTTTCGACACATTTGCCGAAGCACTATGCTGGTTACTATTGAACATAGCCGGATGCCCTACAGTATTACATTATTTGGACGATTTCCTACTGGTCGAGGAGAATACTGCACCTCCCACTAGCCTCAAAGCTACCACTAAGCTGTTTGAGCAACTAGGTGTACCCATCTCCCCAAAGAAAACAGAAGGGCCAGACACGGTTATCACTTTTCTGGGTATCCAGTTAGACTCTGCCACAATGCAAGCAAGCCTACCTTACGAAAAGATAGACAATATTCTCACTTACATTAACAACTACCTACAGCTCGGCACTTGCAACCGCAAAGAACTACAGTCCCTGCTGGGGTCACTAAATTTTGCAATGTGCATCATACCTCAAGGCCGCTCCTTTATTTCACGACTATTGCATCTTTTCCCACTTTTTCTACATGACACGCACAGGTTGTCCTTAGATGCCCAAGCTACGGCAGATCTAAACATGTGGAAGAGGTTTTTAACCACTTGGAATGGTAAAAGTATGTTCCTCCCTCAATTGACTGAATCATCTCCTACCATTTGGTCAGATGCGGCATCTACCACTGGTTTTGCAGCAATTTTTGGGAACGAATGGCTTTGGGGCAGCTGGCCTTCAGCAGTTCTGGATTTGGAAGGTTTTCCACTACCTCAGCTCTTTTTGAGATCTACCCCATAGTGGCGGCTGCCGTAGCGTGGGGTCATTTATGGGCTAATACACCAGTGCGTTGTTACTCAGACAACCAGGCGACCTGTCACATCATCAACAAAGGTCGTTCCAAATCTCTTACGATTATGAGATTTCTGAGGAAACTCACTTGGTTGGCAGCTTGTCATAATTTCTTCCTATGTTGTTTTCATGTGCCAGGTGTATACAACACAGCTGCTGACAGTTTGTCTCGCTTTAAATTTCAGGAGTTTCATCAAGCACTCCCGTCAGCAGCACCCACAGCCACCATCACTCCAACATTTCAACAACTCATACTGGACTAGACGTCATCATGCAGCATAGCAGGACATTGTCTCAGTTGGCACTTTCACACAATACAAACAAAACATACAACAGGGCTTTCACACTATTCAAACGATTCCTTCTGGAACATAACATCATACAACCGTTTGTTATGACATCTTTTTTGGGGTTTGCTTCCTTTTGCCACCTTAAACTCAAATTGTCATATAACACCATCAAACTCTATCTCACTGGCATTCAACACCACATGCTCATCTTACACCCAAATAACAACAGTTTCATGGCCTCTCACCAAATTAAGACCATACTCAGAGGTATTCAAAAATCAGAACCCACACATTTGGCCCAGAGGCTACCCATAGATAACCATATCTTCAAAGCTTTATCTAATCTACTCGACCTGAAACCATTTGACACTAATACGAATTCTATCATCAAAACAGCAATATACATCGCTTTCTATGGATTTCTACGACCCAGAGAATTCACTACGACCTCCACGACCCAAACCACTCCATTCCTCCTCTATTCCCACTTGACAAAACATATGGATCATTACATCCTGTCTTTACCTCACTCCAAAACCAGCCAGCACATACCTGTAAACATTCCGTACTACCCCACGCACAACAGATGGTGTCCCGTAAAAGTTCTTGATGCCTACATACAGCACCATCACTTACTGCCCTCGCAACCGTTATTACAACTACAAGGTGCAGTACTCACCACTACAACCTTCATGACCTACGTCAGGTCCTTGCTCACACAACTGGGCCTCAACGCAAACAATTACTCAGGACACTCCTTTCGTATAGGAGCCGCGTCCACAGCCTCCAGTTTCAACGTCCCAACTCATGTTATCAAAACACTGGGGCGCTGGAAGTCATCTGCTTACTCACGGTACATACCGAACCCAGTACAAGAGTTAAGAGATGCTTTCATAAACATGTCTGGTTGATAAATGTATATGTATTGGTTGTCTGTTAATAAATTGGATTACTTAATTTTTGCCCTCTTCTTTCTCAGGCCTACCTCATCGTCGGTTTCGGCACACCACAACCGACTTGCTCCTTTTATCATCCTACGCTTATTCATGGTATTTCACACTGTACTATCTTAAGCACCTAACACAAGTATTAAGGCAATTTGCCTGCATTTGTGGGAGGTGCTGGTTTTCCACCCCTAGCCTACTTAAGGCACTCCCCTTGCCTGGCTCCTTACCGTTCGAGGTCAGCGTTGAATGACCCTCCCACCACACCACTTTTAACATTTATTTTCCTTTCTATTTCTTTTCCTGGGTGGGCCCTCTTCTTTCTCAGGCCTACCTCATCGTCGGTTTCGGCACACCACAACCGACTTGCTCCTTTTATCATCCTACGTTTATTCATGGTATTTCACACTGTACTATCTTAAGCACCTAACATATATACACATATATATATACACACACACAATAAACCCCCCCTCATTTCATATATATATATATATATATATATATATATATATATATATATATTTGAGATGTACATTTATCTACTATTTTTACATAATTACATAATTTTATTAATTATAATTCAAGGGACCTACCTGACAACCCCCAAAGCCCCAAAAGTCCCCAATGTCCAGCGAATTTATTTTACAAGCCCTATCTTTTCAAAACATCATAACACCTGTACATATGGGGTACTGTCATACTCGTGAGACTTTTGAACACAAATATACGTGTTTTAGAACACTAAAACGTGTAATGATGATGATATCATCAGTAAAAGCCCAGTTTTGTGTGAATAATGCAAAAAAAAAACACAAATATGAACGCTAACTTTGGCCAGGGTTTGTGACTAAGTGGCTACTACAAAAGACCGAACATATGCCATTCTGAATACCCTGGGTTGTCTATGTTTATGAATGGTATGCCATGATGGGGGTAATTCCCATTCTTGGGCTTGCATATAGTCTCAAAGGCAGCATAGGCCACCTAACCAATCTGGCAAACAAATGGGAAAACCATAGATTTGGCCCTGTAACTTTCCAAAACCCCATAAAACCTTCACAGGTGGGTACTATTTTACTCGTGAGACATCGCTGAACACAAATATAAGTGTTTTAGAGCAGTAAAATGTATAATTACATCATTAAAAGGGCATTTAAAAAAAAAAAAAGAAATGGAAAAACTAATATGAACGCTAATTTTGGCCAGGGTTTGTGACTAAGTGGCTACTAAAAAAGACTGGACATACTCTATTTTGAATACCTTGAGTTGTCTACTTTTGCAAATGGTATGCCATGATGGGGGTGTTTCTCATTTCTGGACTGTCATGCAGACTCAAAGTCACCATAACCAACGTGGCAAATTTCAATGTGTAAACAATGGAATGGACAAGCCCTATATTTGACCCTGTAACTTTCCAAAACCCCATAAAACTTGTAAATGCAGGGTACTGTTTTACTCATGAGACATTGTGGAACAGAAATATGAGTGTTCATATGACATTCACAGTTAAAATGTGATGCAGAACTTGAAAAATAACAAAATGTCTTAAAATGTCAAATTTCCTTACATTTTATTCATATTAAATTGTTTCA